TAGTAGTAGTAGTAGTAGTAGTAGTAGTAGTAGTAGTAGTAGTAGTACTGGTAGTACTGGTAGTAGTAGTAGTGGTGGTGGTGGTGGTAGTAGTTTGTAGTACTAGTAGCACTAGTAGTCATAGCACTAGTACTAGTAGCACGAGTAGTACTAGTGGCAGTAGTAGTGGTAGCAGTCGTAGTAGCAGCAGTAGTCGTACTATAGTCAGCAATAGTGGTAGTGGCAGTCGGAGCAGTAGCAGTTGCAGTGGCAGTCGCAGTGGCGGCAGCAGCAGGAGCAGGAGGAGGAGGAGCAGTGCTAGCAGTAGTAGTCGTCGTCGTGGTAGTGGTATAGTGGTAGTGGTAGTGGTAGTAGAGGAGTAGTAGTAGTAGCAGCAGCAGTAGTAGTAGTGGCAGTAGTAGTAGTAGAAGTAGTAGTAGTAGTAGAAGTAGAAGTAGAAGCAGTAGTAGTAGCAGCAGCAGCAGCAGTAGTAGTAGTAGTAGACCAGCCACGTCTTGAGCTTGTTTGGAAGATATGTTTCAGATACAAGTGGGGCACTGGTTTCGCAGCACAGGTTCGTCTACATTTACGTTATCGTTTGGTTATCGTTTAGGTTATCGTTTGACTACAGCTACATTTCCGACAAACCTGTCGCCAAACTCCGAAGTCAAAAACGGCTTTGGGAAGGCTACACTAAGCAGAAACGAGGTTCCCTGATGGTCTTCATGGTTAAAAAGATGTACTGCAGCTATGCAAAATAAGCTTTCCTAGAATTGAACATGATGCTATCAATATGTTATCGTTTCAGTGTATTATCGTTTTCCAAGTAAAATGCAAATTATGCAATCCCAATGTCGGGTCCTTTACTAAATAGCTTTCCGTACATAAATCAGGTTGCTCATATGAAAAACCAATGTTTGACTATGACGATCGTTGGATCCCAACAGCATTTTTTGACATAAGTTTGCAACAACAGCGACGCCGTCTCTGTTTTCTACCCTGGACACGTCCGGATACGTACACATGACCAACAATGACCTCAACTTGACCTTTATTTTTGTGCACTCGACGAGAGCTTCTACTATGCCTGGAAAGAAAAACACGCTTGGAGTCTGCACCTGCGCTGAGCATTGGCAAAGAACTTGTTTGATATGTTCGAGGTTCGGCCCATGGTTTGGCAATCCTTCTCTTCATCACTTGCAAGAACCCAGATTCTGCCTGAGGACCCTGATCTATTGACTCTCTTGCGCAGTGGTGTCCAAATTCTGTCTCCAAGCCCTTTCTCAATGATGAGCCTATCCAACGAAAACAAGTTCTGGAGTTGATAAACTGTATGAAAGTAGATGAAAACCGCTACAGTATCAGAGTAGGCCATTGATACTGTGTTTTCTTCATGTCTTTTTCCGAACTGCCACCTGTGACCTCACAAAACAGGGGAAATGTGAAACACAAGAGAAACATGACGAAGTGACTGCAACCATGCAATGAACACATTGGTCCAAAATGGTCCACATGAAAACCCATGTCAAACCCCTCTTGTTGGTGACCAACATGTGTCTGTTGTGGTACACATAAGCTGACCTTGACTTGCTCTGCACGCTTGGCAGAACACACAAATGGTCAAGACTAGCAGGTGAAACATGGTTGCTCACAGCGGGAGGAAGACTGGACAACATGTCAACAAACAACTGTCAGATGGACAACAACAGTTTCACAAACATACATACTGTTCATAGATCTCCTGTTCTCCAGTCTGCACTTATAAAACATCTTGTTTCTAGTGAACAACAAAATTAGAAAAAGTCTTTGGTTTCACCATGTTTAACATTGTTTACTCATTAAGTTCTCGGGACTTGTCCTCTCTGAGTCTTATCCAGCGCGAGTCTTATCCAGCGCCCCTGGTAACCGGCGTCCCTCAGCCTAGCATCCAGGGCCTAAGCTGACCCAGCTCGACCCAGCCAAAACTCGGACGGATTGAGCATGGTCTGTCTGGGTCCGCCCCGCCCAAATAGGGACCTCTAACTACTATGCACGCGGTCCCTATTGGTCCGACTGGACTGGCGGCGACTGCTTGAACCACCATAACTATCTATGGATGGTCATGAGTCATGACAAATATAGATAATGATGATAATGTATGACTAGAGTCACTGTATATGTACGAGTATGTGTAATCATGTGTCTCCGAAGAGTCAGCGGCAGTGGGGAGACCAAACCTCCAACCATGGAAGGTTTTGCCCATCTTCGGTCCCCAAGGTGCGACGAAAACGGCCATCGAACACCTGCTTCTTTCGATCGAATGGATGCATGGGGACTGTGATCGGATTTACATGACAAACATGGGAAGCACAAATAGAAGATCGAACATCTCCACAACAAAATAATTACCCACAAATTAAACAAATGCCCCCGATCAACACCAGCATATAAACCACATAATAGCCTACTTATAATATATATATATGATATGATATGATATGATATGATATGACTAATACAGTATATTGACATTTGTAACATATATCATACCTTTAACCTGTGTGATCCCTATTTTGGGCCACCAACCGCTCAAAACACCGTCTCTTTTACCCATCAAGACAAAGGTGATGTGTGGAGAACTGCTTCGACGCTTCAACGTCCGTTTTCTCAGGGCTCGGCTCCCGGAACTGCCGGTTCCAAAGAGAGCCACCTGGAGGCGACTGGTGTGTCCGACGCACGTGGTGTGTTTATATATATATACAGTATATGGACGGTGGATGAACATACCTTTTGAGGGTCAAGCATCTCTTAATAGGGGCATTTAAGCAATTGACTGTAATCATCAGCCATGCGGCTTGTGCTCCAGAAAGCTACATGGCTAAAACCGTGAATAGGCCACTGGCTAAAACCGGCACAGCAATGTTCCATCTACAAGAGAAGAATCAAAGGCCAGCCAAATTCGTTATATTGTCTTTGCAAATTCGGAAGTCTTGGAGTGAGAGTTTTACCATGACTTTTGCCCAGTGACGGCCATTTGTTGATACCTGTTCTGTGGGCCAGCATCCCATGACTATTTTGATGTTCATGTTCATGTTCCCACACAATCCATGTGAGTGTAGGATGTGGCCCACTCATCACGATTTTTGAGAAAGGCCTTTACTAACAGTCGTCATCCACTGGTAATGGGTCGTAATGGAATATACAGCAAGTAGCATGTAACTTCTGAATATTTGTGATTCGTCTCCAATATGTCAGCCGCGGCACCCACCTGGAGTGCCGGCTCAGGCGCAAAGATTCATCAGCTAAGTAGATCGATTATGAGACAACACGAATCACACTGCCCCTGCAAATCCCTTCATATCACCCATATCTGGCGATCGGAGTCCTAAGAAATCACCCCAAAACACCACCGCACATCACCTGGTCAGAGGCTTGCACGTGCATTCATGTGAGTCTGGCTGTTCATGTGTGTCAAGAGGTAGGAATGTCATGTTTGAATGGTGTTTTCTTGTCGATAGGAAAGTAGGTGAAGGCCACCTAATTCCTGAACTATTGGCCGATAGTGCAAACCTTGGAAGCGAACAACCAACCACTGCTCTTCCCGTCTGAAAGAGACCTTGCAAATGAACATGCTGACAACATCCTCCCACCCGAAGAATCCGGGCCCGAAGCAACGCGTAGGGTTTAGGTCCCGACCCCTGCGAAGTTGTCAGATCCGACCCCCGCCATGGTTTTGAGATATCCCAGACATTCCCAGAGACACTCCATGGGACTGGTATAGATGCCTACCTTGACCCCTAAAATCCAACCACCCCTATGGCAGTATGGTCAATATGCCAGTCCCATGGGTCGTGTCTGGGTATTTCGATCCTCTTCGATGCCCAGTGAACACCGGTGTCCCGCACCTTTCGGCACGCCCTCCCAGGTCGGCAGCAAGTCGTCCTCGCCTGAAGGTTCCGGTTTGATGTTTTCCTCAAACATCCTACAACCCTAGACTACTACATTCCATTCTGTAAAGACACAGAATGGACCATCATCCTTCCAGCGGTTGACCGCAGTAGGGCAGCACCTGATAAAAGGTGATGCTCAACCTCTTTGGGAGCTTTCGTTGAGAAAGGCAAATGAAACAGAACCGTTAGAGACTGCAGGTATGATATGAGATTCTTTATGAGCCTTGAAACTTTCAGAGGCATCCCGCCTCCCGCTCATTTCAACCAAGAACGTGTATCTGCACCTGATGTCCACTCAATGGCTGCATCTTAAGCTTCGCCTGTTGGTTCTTCGGTTTGTCTTTGGGCCTTTAAAAGCATCAATTGCAGCCTGTTTCTCTCAGATCGGATCCAACGAATGTCCGCTTGGCAAAATGTGCTCGTGCTAAAAACATATGTACCTCTTCTTAGCCCTTGGCTCAGACCTGGATGTAGTTGGATGTCGTGCAACGAGTCACAAAAGCTGTGCACGGGTCATTCCAAGCATGGGTGATTCCCATTCGATGACCCTGGTTCGATGACCCTATTTGAAGAGAAGTTCTATTCTATTTGTTGCTCAAGCATTCTATTGCTTTCAAGCTGCTGTGCAAGTCATCTTCCATCTCTTCCTCCTCCGTTTCCTGACAGCAAACATTTATCAAATCAACGACTGTAGCCCGGTAGAGCCCACTCTTGCATTGCTAGGGACCCTGCCCCATCCTTGCAAGAGCAAATGACTATAATAAGAGGCCAAACCACATAGCTATGCTGAAAGGATGGCTCAACATGGTGGGGCAGCTCCCAAGCTAATTCTATCCATATCATCGATACAACAGAACATGTTCTACAAACAGATCACACATACATTCCAGTGTAAACATATGCATGCAGTGTTGTTGCATGTATTAGGGAGCACTAAAGGCCAAAAGACAAAGTGATTTGCTGCACGAGATTCAATTCATGGCACAAATCCAGGATCAATCGTGATCTAAATTCTTTTGGGCCACATGGAGCTCATTCGGCCCATACTATGTGTCAGAAGAAAAGGTCCAGAGAAGCACCGCTTCTTCCTACCACAGCCAACTTGCAATCATCAACACCCCCCCCCAATGCCCGAATTATGGGCTACTACATGGCCTTTGTACGTACAGTACAGAGTAAATTCAGGATTTTTAGTGTCCGTAAAGTTGCCAAGACCACCTCTTCCACCCCAAAAACAAAACGACTTGGATGACCCTAAACAAAATCCAGACCTCCTGCAAGTTCTCATTCTCTTCTTCACCTCAGAACGAGATCTGACAGAGAAGGTTTCACAAGCTACAATCTCTTTGTTCCGACACTATAGGACCACTGGAATTAAGCATGATGTTCAAGTCATGTCTATTCAAATATTCAGGGGATGTACTTTCTAATCTATTCTAGAATCACTGTGTCTTGGTCTTTGGCCCTTGGGACAAGCCACTCCAGCCTCGCAGCTCAGCACTGGAGTGAGTGTTCGGACTGGAAACTTCATAGATCTTTTGCGGGCCGCAGAAACAGGTCACCATGTGATATTCAAGTCTCCTCATGTTTTGTTTGAATTACTGTACTCCTATGATCACCTATGTATATTAAAATGTCCGATGGACTAACCTACATATGATCTCCCGTTTGCTCTTCCCGTTGCTGACCGGATATCCAGTTAGCCTTGGTCCGGGGAGAGTCGGTCCGGTGAACATCTCCGTTGCCATCCGCCAACCGAAGCAGAAGCCTCTGAGGTCCGGAACAGTTGTCCTGCATCTCCCGTTGGAAGGCAGAGTCTTCTAAGAACCTCAGGGAAGAAAAAAATCCATGGATCAAAACGGAGAAGTGGAGCAACCAAATCTACCATTTCTATGCTGATGTGTTTTTTTTTGCTTTATCATGGTTGTCATCCCCATTTCTCCGACCAATTGAATCCGCGTTAGAGACCCGAGCACATGAAGACCCGAGCCTACAAAGCTGGTCAATTGTCTCTTAGTCTGTGGCGTCAACTAGCTGGATCATGATGGGTCATGACTCGGACCTACTGATCAGCTACTAAGCGTTTGGCTACCCTGCAGTCTGCTGGGACAAGCTTCCTACTGGAGGACATGTCTGCAAGAAACTGGCACAACGGTTGGTCCCGGCACACCCGGATTCGACCGGTGATCAACTGCCGCTGACTGCGGAAGCTCCACCGGATGCTTCCGGTGTTTGCCCAGAAACGAGTTGAAGAGCGGGATCCAACAGCTCGTCAAAGCCGCATAGTTGGCATAACCTGGAGACTCTGGACTGTCCGTTGCATTGGGAGTATGACCAATCAAATTAGATTGAGGATGATTGAGGTAGGTAGTAGACAAAGGCATCACATGTTCGTGGAACATAAGATTGGGGCCAACAGGGGTTCAACTGCTTCTATGCCTAAATTTGCCAGCAGGAGTGCATGTGGAGGAGGAATGGCCACATCATTCTTCTGCGGCCACATCACGCTTGAGACACTCAATGGCTTCGGGGTAACTCTTTCGGAAACCATCAGCCATTCCTCCTTGAGGAATCCGGAAACGACGCAGCAACCACCACGGTCACCCCCAGGCCACAGACCTGTGAGATAGCGGGTTCGGCTTAGCACGATGAGATACCGAACATCCCAACATCCCACTCCACTGAACATCCAAAAATCTCCCAACCTCTCCTGGGTCAAACCCGAAAGACCCGAAAGACCCTAAACCCGAGACGGCCCGTTTCACCGCGGCGTTGGTCGCCCAGGTACCACCCTTGAACTCATCATAGAGCTCACGCTCCTCCTGTAGTTTCCGGAGCTGGGACGTGATGGAAATCATCGGAAAAACAACGAAACAAAGAAACGTTTTTGCCCAGAAATCAACACCCAAACACTCCATGAATTGATATTTATGGTTCATTTACAAACATTGGGATGGTTTTCCTGGGTCCATACCTAGGTACTGTAAATGTTCAATACATTGATATGGACTGTTTGGGGGGGGAAGGAGATGTCAAGGCTGAAGAGAATGGAACTGATGTTTTGGACGTAAAAAAAAGTCTGGTTTCGGGTTGCTGCAGTCCATTCATGTGGGTGAACGTCTCAGTTTGACCTGGGACGGGAAGTGTGGAACGAGGGAGGGAGATCCTGATTCCTGATCTTGAGGCATCCATATAATCGCCCATATTCGTGTCACTGTTGCTTGGCTTGCGATGAATGATCGTTAGATGATGGGTGAGAACTTCGTATCAAATAAAGCCTCTCTAGGAATACCGGAAAAAACAGGTGGGACAACCATGGACCATGATCACCTCCAAATCTGCACTGCATGTTCTTGAGATTCTGGAAAAAATATTCCGTGAAGGCACCGCAAATGTGGTCAGCTTGACCATCAGGGAACAGGATTGACTCAACCCATTCAGAACTGACAAACCACCTAACATGAGGGTTTGAAACCTGGCCAACGTGCGACAACCTCCGCATGATTTGGTTCATACTTTCGATTTTATGGTGTTGATGCCGGCTGTTGTGACTGATGTGCAATTACACTAAATGGCACAGTTACCACTGGACCTGTCCCTAATTATACCACTAGCACAGTCACAAACATCCCTGGCCGTACCTGGAAATCAGTCGGTCCTCCAAGGAGATGTGGAGCAGGGAGGCCCAAAGAACAAAGCTCACGAGCACCAACATCACCGGGTTGCACAAGGCGATCTGCGCAATGAGTTTGTCGTTTTTGATTTCACATCGGCGGTGCAAATAAAAAAACACCGGGTCGGAAACCACACGCTTACTTGGGTGAATTGTTCACAAAAGGCCGAGGTTAAAACATGTTGTAAACATGCAGTGTTTGGAATTCAAAATTACTTGATTATACGCAGTCTGATTTTGTTTCTACAAATACACTGTGCGTTTGATGAGGCAAGCAAGAGACGTTTTGTGTTTTTGTGTATCTCGTTTTGTTGATGAAATTGGACGAAACCGGCCCGGTTTCCCATCGTAACAGCCCCGGAACAACTCCGAGAGTTTTCTTGTTCGCACTTCAGCCACCGCACCGTTTTGTCCCGGTTCGCTTTAGAAACCGCGTGCGTGCGGTAGTACGTCTTCGGAAGTCTCAAACATTTGTTTTGGTGGAAACATACCTTCGCATCTGGCTTCGCACGCCATCACGAAACAAGTTTTTCTGCAAAAGGTGCCTTCGCGGTTAAACTGGTGTTATGTGTTGCCTTTGCGACACGAGTTTGCGAACCTTTGTGGAACACGCAAAAGCAAGGATTGTTTGCCCACGCAAGTTGCCTTCGCAAAACAAGGTGGTGCATCCGCGATTTGCCTTCATATGCCTTCGCACGTGCACAAAACTGTGAAAATTGCATTTGTGGGCTGTGATGACGTTCCACTTTCGTATAATTTTTTACGTTGCCAACAAAAATGTTGGTCACTTGGAGACGAGAAGTGCAACTGACAACTTCAAATTCTTTGTTCAATTTGGGATGACGTTGATCCAAGAAAAGTTGACACGAAGGCTTTCATCGCATCAATGCCACCAGTGTGGATGTTCACCCGTTTGCTTCCAAACCGACTCATTTTGGAAAACTCACCACGGGAATGCTTCACACTGAAGTGGTGCATTTTGACGAAGCCAATCCATTGAAAAAAAACGGTAAAAACAATCAACGCACCAAAACATCTTCCGAACATTCAAAACTAAGCTGAACCTTGCGCCGCTTACTGATGAGCTGGGGAAACTCTTACAGCCAGCTAGTCGCATCAACAGCAGCAGGCCCAGGAATATGTCGAAGCTATATGATCTATATGAACTAAATTCCTCATACCTAGACCCTCACAAGTCACAAGGCACTAATTTTTGCCGTAGGCTGTTGTTGAGGCATTTGTTTGCGGTAACTCATTTGTGTGCTGCAGCTCAATCCCTGGGAAATGAAAACGCCGAAAACGCCGTCAGAAAAACGGCATCACACAAGAAGAGCCGCCGTTTTTTTTATCTACCAAAGCGGATATTGTTTTGGTCCGTCCATACCCTGAAATTGCCTTCTCTTTTTCACTTGCAAGTAGAGCTCATCCTTTTCAAACCTCATGGTAGCACTTCTCAAGAGGTTACTGTCCTTGTCTAAGGTCTCGATTGACATCACGGCATGGTTTGTTCACATTTTGATCACGCAATGGCTGAAAGGATCGGTTGTGACAAGTCTTGCTGCCACCTTGAGTGTTCTTCGGCGAGGGTGCGGGGAACAACGCCGTAAGTAGGAGGAAAATGCCGCAAGTGCGGGGAAAAACAACTGCAAATACGGGGAAAAACGCTGCAAGTACGGGTGAGAACGCTGTAACTTTAAATGCTAAATCTTCTGCAATGCCACGCAAGAGGTCGAGTTACTCACGAAAACCGACGAAAACCCAGCATGTGACACTTCCATCAGCTTCCCTTTCCACTTCACACGACGCATGGAATTTGCTGATATAATTAGATGCCTGTTACGTTCAATTGCCTTTCAAGCAGGACCCTATAATATCTGCATACTCGACTGTACTAAAAGGAAATGACTCTTTGAGGCACATGGATGTCTGGACTAAAATTGCCGTCAACTGACCGAAACTCCCGCAGTTCATCAAGAAACGCCGTCCCCATGAGATCAATATGGAAGAACGCCGCAAGACGCCAGAAAGGCGACGTTTCATGAAAACGGCCATTACTATTTCCGTAACGAAGTTCCGGGTATTAATTGTAACTTCACAACGGTGTTTTTTCACATCATCTGTTCTCATTCATGTTCGGTTCCCGCTCCGTCCTCCTGACAGAAGCTCCTTTTTGGAGTCGAAGAGGAGTGGTTTGCACAGAAGTTCAATGGATGCTGTTGCTGTCTGGCTCATTGACTGGCCGAGCAAATCCCAAGTGCTGGACAGTTGAGACAGTTGTTAGTTTGAGACGGTGGCATCTAGCGTAATAATTTCTCTAATTTCTAGCGCTGGAGCTGATAACGACAGCCGTACTTGTGGCTGACAAAAAAGAAATCAACATCACGGCACATGTTTGTTCTGATTTCTAGAAGCTGTTGGCCATATATATATATTTATATATATATATGTACATCCATAGATTGATTGATGACAATGTTGTGAAACTGATGAACATGTCGTGAAACATGACACCCACGTCCCCGCCCCCAATCCATTTTAATCACACGACTGATCGATGACAATATCCACACACAGATGGCAGCATCAATACATCGATGACAATGCTGTGAAATTGAATGAAATTGATGAACATGTTGTAAAGTCGATTCCATTATCTAATTGTGAATTTGATGACAATGTTCTCCACATGACATCGTCATTCCAGCACAAACCAACAATCGTGTCTTCTCGTCCATGAGTCCATGGCCAAATTTCAAGTGAGTGTGAACATGAACAGCACTGCACGTTTGGCTTCTGACCCAGTGGCACAAACATATCCATTGGGATGCAGAATTAGTATGGGCATGTATGGGCCGAGTTATCGTTGGGCACTGAATCTCTTAGTGATACAAGCGCGCTTGCGCAAACCGCGTTGAAGCATCCGGCTGCGCCACGTCTCTGCGCGATTCGCACGGGCATGGCGCCTGGATTCCCAGGCCCCAAAGCATGGCGCCTAAATAGGCTGGATGCCGCTCGCAGCGGTAGACCCCCCTCCTTGCAACGGTAGGCACGCAGGTGCTAAGTCGCGGCTTGCAAAATTTCACCCGGTCGCATGGAGACGCAGCTGCTTTCTACGACAACACCGTGGACACGCTTTACACAAGCATGTTTGCGCAAACTGTTGCGCATCCATGCACCAAAAAACAAGGTTTATGTTTCATGTCAAAGTTTGTAGCTTTGGGGGGTGAGAAAATCCACGACAACCACAGCATGTTGAAGAAGTGATGGTTCTGCTCTTGATAGTCCAAATATACCGCAATACCTATAGCCTATATACTGTCAACCTATTTGTCAAATGGAGTTAAATTGAGCTGATACTCCAAAGCGGAAATCAGGGAAGTATGTTAAACTTCAACGCGTCTTATACATGTTGCGCATGCAAACATATGCAAACATTGCAAATGCGTCATATTCATTTGCAAGGTAGCACACATTAAATCATTAAGCACTGAAGCAAACATAGCTAACATACTCTCAAAGACTTAGATTAAACATGTTGACCAAAACCCATTTTCCGGACCAAAACCCACCGGGAACGACCCGCCCCGACTTGGTAAACGCAACTTGGACAATAGTCTTTCTTGCTGTATTATCGGGATACTGGACTGGATGCTGAACACAAAATTCGATCTTGTCAGCCCAGTTGCTGTGTTTTGCATTGCAAGATACCCAAATCATCCAGATGTACATCGGTGTTCTTCAACGGACCTGTAGCATCTTTTTAACCTTTTTAGTGGCAGCACTTCAATTCTGGGTTCTTGAAACTTCCCATGCTTCACACCCCCGCAAGCCTCTGTGGCTTCACAGCTTTCCGAAAAAAAGGGAACACCCGGTAGGAGGGGACTTCGTGAAGGTGCATGATACCGTGTTCAAGCTAAGACATGGCACATCCTCCGGTGGAAAGTGCTCCCGCAAAGTCATAGACCCTCCGGGTTCCTTTTGAATCTTTTGACAACCCACGGCACCTGGCACCGGAAATCCCGCCCGTGCCCAGGCACCGACGCAGGACCGGCCTGGACGATGCGTCGGTCCGGAATCTCCAGGCCGACGAACTCGTCGGACCAATCCTCCTGACATCTGCGTCCGGCGGGAAAAACGCTCTGCGTAGCTCACGAGAAGAAAGGCCGCGCCCGGCCGCGCCCACGCAATCCGGCCGATCCGGATCTGAAGAAGAGATCCGGACCAAGGCTCCTCGCCCGTTGGTCGCCGTGTTGTGGGGATGGGCGCCGCGAAAGCGCGCACGGCGTGGACAAAGATGGGATGACTGGTTGCAAGGGGTTCATCTGGCGAGGCAAAGCGTGGTCCGATCGCAGAACTGAAGCAGAACTTCAGCTTGGAAGAGAGGAAGAGAAAAACATTAAATTCCTGAACCAAACAACCTCGTGTGACTAGGTGTCTATATTAGCTATGGCCACTAGCCACTGTTTGCACTGGGCATTCGTGGCCTCCCATCCAGGACAAACGACCTAATGATTCAATTGATTGGACTGTCCTGCGCTGCGCTGTGCTTCTTTCAACCAGGATCTGCACTGTGCATGGTTTTGACATGGTTTACTATCTTAGACTATCTTGCGCGAGCTGTTGTGCTGGGCGTGGAGGTTTTTAGACTTCTGATACTCTAAAAGGCTCAATCTGTCGAAGGCCCATTTCTCAAAACCATCTACCTGCAACAATGAAAGACCTGAAGATCCATATTTTCATCCATTGCAGGCATCCTCCAACCAGCCAAACCCCGGCCTCTTCAGGCATATCTCGGCCTCGGCCACCCGGTTCTGTTGCTGTTCAGCCCCCCGATAGTTTATCAAACTTTGTGAGGCCTTCCCACGAAAAAGATCTGACATAACTTACAAATAAAAGATCTGACATGACTTACAAATACCTGCAATTCCATGTATATAGTTGGGTGCTTGATGCAAGGGTTCCAGGGTGCCCCTGTCACATCCATGGCCCCCCTGGATGAGACGCGCCAAACCTGGAGGGTATTGTTTTCAATTGTTTTTGGTTTGGGGGGGAGGTTTCAAAAGATTCAAATGCAAAACATGTATTTGTATTGCAAAACATGTATTTGTGTTGTTGAAAAGATTCTATGTTGCGATGAATTGCAAACATGATTTCCCGATGTTTCCCGCCTCCTGGTTGAAATCCCAATTGGTTGGTATATATGGTCGCTTTGCCCTAACCGGTCTGAACCCTGTCCGACATTCCATCTCTTGATCCCAGTGGCAGCTGGCCCAGTAGTTCCGTTGGCCAATGTGACTCGCTGAGGCGATCAGCCACTGGCAGTTCATGGAGATCAAAAATGTAAGGACACCAGAAACCAGGACAAAAGGATTGTTTTCGAAGGGTGTGACCCGACTGACCTGTTGGTGGGCCCTGGAACCCATACATTTGCACCATAGTATATGATCGATTCATATCATATCATACAAACCTACACCAATATAGAAAAACTAAAGCAATATATATATATATACATGTTTATTTTAGATTGTTGTAGCAGTATTATTGATTATCCGAAAATTTTGAAATAGATCTTGTTCTATTGAGAAAGTGTGGGGTGGATTTGTGCCAGTCGCTACCTCGTGACAGTTTGTCATAGGCTTGGTGCGAAGTTGATAATAGCTAGCAGACTTTCATGGCACTGAGTGACGCCAGCAAAGGCATCCGGGTTCTGTTGCAAAGTAAAGCGCAACTTGCAAGACCCTGGACTGCCAACATGTCTTGATAGATTGTTCTACATCATGATACGAGTGTTTGACCTTGTGCAGCCCAAACACGGAAGACAGCCCACTGCATGGCACACCGATGGAAAGAGTTCAACCCTCAATAAGAGGAAGTCACCCCACCATGTTGAACCCCCAATGGCACACCATCACCCACAAATCTGTCGACATACACTTCTTAAGCATGTTTGTGTGGTGTGCCGTGGTGCTTTGCTTGCAAAGTGCCCACCAAATGTCGGCTTCAATGCGTGTTTCCGCATGGCACACCGAAGACGCAGCATGTGTGTGCCTATGTGGGAGCATGGGTCCCAATTTGCTCTGCTCTTAGCTTGTGCTTTCTGCGTGGCACAGCGAAGATGCAGCACGCACCTCTCATGTGTAAACCTCCCCAAAACCCTACTGCTACCTTACGCGCGCTGGTCGCACGTGCGTGTGGCGCCCACCAAGTATCTATCTCACTTGGCTTCCACATGGCACACTAAAACAGGCAAGCCTCATGTGGGTGCACCTCCTAAAACCAAATGGCTTACGCCGGTCCTAAAAGTGGATGTGTGGGGGCCCACCAAATCTCGACTTCATTTTGCTCCCACGTGGCGCACTGAACAAGCAACGCGTGTCTCTCGTAGTTGCGATTGTCGTCCCAATGGCGCGAAGAATTCACCTGGAAGTTTCAGAAACTCATCAGAACGGAAGAGCGCAAACGTGACAACCAGTGACATTCAGTCCGCAGATCTTGGATCAATACGATTGGCAAGTATGCTGTATGCTTGCTCACCGTTACAACAGATGTTCTGGCAGCGTAGCCACTGCCCAGCCCGGCCTTGCAGACCCTCGCTTTTTCGCCGACGGCCGGCCCACGGCTCAGGCCCTTGAGCGCAAGGCCACGGCTCTTGAACACCGCCGCACTGCAAACGAAGGCCGGCGCACTCAACACGAATCTGTGAGCAAGCATGAGGTCACTGAGATCCATGGCCAGGTCATACGGAGATCAGTGGCCCAGACCTTCAATATGCAGACCCGCTCGACGGCAAGGGCAGGTGCAAGACCAGCGCTGTTTGACACTGCGAATCACACAAAGCTGTGGCTGGCCACATCGCCCTAGCCACTGACTCTTTATCTCCCATCAAGGGTTGCCTTCAATTGTCCGCATTTTTGGTTCGATTCTGATTGCTCAAATCAAATGAAGGCGTGTTCGCCTCACTGGCAGTTTGGGCTTGAGCTTCTTTAGCGACTACCTCACTTGCGTACGGCTCACGCAAAAGTTAACTCACTTGCGCACGCGTGAACTCCAGCTCCACTGAAGATCGTCCTTGTCAAAGGGAGGCAGCTGGAGACAAAAGAGGAACGAACCTTCCTGTTGGAGGCCAATGGGGCCACGTGTAGCATTGGCCACACTGTGAGCCACGCACCTGTTGTGCTTGAAGTGCCGTTGCTACATTTCCTGGCCTCGAATTCTGAATTGGCTCTAACTCCAGTTCACTAGATCCTCCTTGCTCAAGGGTGGCGGTAGCTGGAGATACGTCCCGGGAAAGGCCCTCCGTAGACTGCGCAAGTAGCCAGAGGCCAACAGGCTTTGTTTGGCAGCCGATTGAACGCAGAGCAGCTGCAGTAGCTGCACGGGTCTAGATCACCAAGCTTGCCAAAGGTCAGACTACAGGATTGGAGTATAAGAAACAAACAATAATGTAAATCAAAAATAACCAAGCAAGCCCCAATTGGGTCGTTCGTGGATCCAATCAATCGAATTCAGGAATGCTTTCAGGTGATCCTAGTTGGAGTCTGTGACTCTGGAGCCAACACTCCACAAATATCCAGGCTGACCCCATCTGCGAACCAAAGGATGAACGAAATAGTAGCAATCTACCAACTTTTGAGCTTGACTGTGTTTGTGCCTTCTGTGAGGCAGCACCGCCAAGCTTGACTAGCGCACGGGGCACCCAGGATTATCACCAATCTTCTGCGAGAAGTCTGTTGGTTGGGATTCACTCCAATTCTTTTGCATAGTTTTTCACTTTCTAGCAGCCTTGATTCTAAGCTCTCAACCTGCTGCTCACTACCTGTGTGCAACTTCGGAGCCTCATCGGAAGCTGCGTCGCGAGGAAGGGGCAGGAGAAAAACAGGCCAAAGAGTTGGACCTCTTATTGAATTTGTGGCGCGCTTTGCAATTACATTGTGAGACGTGATACGAGTTCGTTTACGCGATAGGGGTGAACCCACACGTAACAAGGACCAGATCCTAAATGACATACAGATGCTCTCTGCGCATAGTACTCCTAAATTATTATTTGCCGTTGCGATTGGCATAAGCACCTTGCAGTGCAATTAGCTCTATATGCTGAAGATGAACAGCACATGCACTTTAGACATCTTTAGACTTCGCATGTGCCTGGAGCATGCCATTCCGCAAGGCACACCGGCCGTGGCACGACTTTGCGGCACGAGAAATGAATCTGACAAACACGCAGCCTTTACTGTAATCTATGGGTCTGTGCCCCAAACCAATGAGATTTCAGTTCCTTTCACCTGTGTATAGTGGGGCTATGGATTGACCAATAGATCTATTTAAAGGCGTTCTTTGTTCCTCACAAGTTTGCAAACTCTCGACTTCACCCAAGTCTGTCCGGTCTTGGATCTCCCGGATGGGCCTGGCCACAAACACAAAGGGCGGCCTTAGGTCGTGCTAGCTTGGCAAATAAACGAGTTGAGGGCCAACAACTGCTTGAGACTAACCCCAACGGTCCTCCTTACATAGGGTATACATGCTGAATTAGAAAGCCACAATTATTCTAGCACCTGTAGGACCTTGCAGGGCCCAGGAGCAAAGCAAAACGTGCGAAGCTGAAACCAACATCAGTGTGATTTGGAGCGGAAGAATCAATCCAGTTGTCAATTGTTTATGGCCACGCCGCCACTTGCAGCGCTGAGTATTTTAAGAATATTAATGGTTTTCAATGTTCAAAGTTCTTCGCTCAAAAAACGTGTCTTTTGGGGCAAAAGATTCGTGTTTCACTTTCGAACCTGATGGTTGGTTTTATGGCTCTTACCGCAATGTAATGCACAATGAGACTGTCTTCGGGGATCTTTGGGGGATGTTTCTTGGTCACTGGGTGCTTCACTGGCGTCAACTGAGTGTAGTGCTATGGGATTGCATTCTCAATGAGTTGGTTTTCCCGAGGCAACTCCCTCCAGTGCTGGTGATGAGTCGATTTGAGTTGCGCGAGACTTGCATGGTACCCAGGTGGTGATGGTTTGCCAAAACTAGTGTGTGGGACCTGAGATGTGAGCCAGGAGTGCTGAGGGTACTGTGTTCAGTGTCTCCAATCACACCAACAATCGAATACTCGCCCTCATCAAACAGCCCCCCAGCTAGTGACCAAAATCAATGAATTGGCAACTTACCTTGCAGTGCACCCACCGCTGTGGGAAAGAATGAAAGCACCCTTACACATATACAGCACCCAGTTCACTAGTCCCTTGCCTTGCTTGTCAACAAAGGCTGACACTAGTGTCACTATGATCTATTAGGTCTCTCATCAACTCTCCCACGTTATCCTACCCATCTTTCTTTGCATCGAAAGCACACCCAGCACAGCGAAGGCTCTCCAAATCTTGTAATCTGGAAACCACCTACAGGCGCGAAGACGTGGGCGATCGTCGTTGCACAACACACTCTGACATTGGTTTTCAGTTAACTCAATTCTGAAGTGGGAAAAGGCGATGGAACCGCAAGGTGAAGTGTCCAGGCAATTGAAGGTGTTTCAACAATTGGTTTATGCGCATCTGCAGAATCTCAACGGCAGCTGATGGCAGCTCAGCGGCGGAAAGTGGAAAGGGTTTTGGGGAAGTATCATGAAGGACCATGAACCAAAAAACGGTAGGAGTAGAGTCACAGCTTGCGAACATTACACGTCAGCAGGTACGTGGATTCTGCGTCCAGAATCCATATCAGTGACTCAAAAACAGCCTCGTCGTTGGACTGCCGCTGTTAAGAGTCGGGCAGTCCCCCTGCATTCAAAACTCTTAGTTACAGAGGTTGACACACACACACACACACACACACGGTGCCGCTTTGCGGCGCTCGCGCGGAGGACCTGAATAGGTACCTAGAAAGCCTTAGAAAAAAGACAGAAACACAGAAAGAGCAGCGCTAAGAGGGCAAGAGAGAAAGGTAGGAGTAGAAAAAAATGAATACTTAGCCCTTGACTGGGGTAGGTAAAGGAGCCTCAAGAACAACCTGAAAAGCCTGAGAGAAAGCCCAAGAAACGACCAAAGGCGCAAGAAGGAACGTGGGGGGCAGGGAGGTGTATGTACATGTGTGTGTGTGTGTATGACTACCTGGCACTCTAGAGTTACTGAATACTTAGCCGAATGAATTGGGTGCACTCGTTAGGGAGCGGGACTTTTGTCTTACACCGCCTGGGTAGAGTAGACTAGAAAAGGGACAACAGAGGGAAAGGCACCGACACACAAGTGTGCCGAGTACCATTTCCTCCCTCTGTTACCCTAATTAGAGGGGGGGGGGGTTGGGGTGTTTGGGGTAGAGAACACGTTTGGGTTTATTCTCCTTTGGCCCGGCGGCTTTGACCAAATCAAACCAGGTGGAAATTCCGTGAAGCCTGGTGGCGTAAGTTGCAGACAATACAATGGTGAAGCCAAATCAGTTAAGAGAATCCAAAGCATGGTGGAAACGGTTGAATCTGTTACACGAATTCCGGAGTGAAAACGGCGCCTCCTTGCGGAGGATCACACCCAGCACCCAAGTGGGACGACTGAGCGAGTCACACTCTGACATTGGTTTTCAGTTAACTCAATTCCCAAGTGGAAAAAGGCGATGGAACCGCAAGGTGAAGTGTCCAGGCAATTGAAGGTGTTTCAACAATTGGTTTATGCGCATCTGCAGAAACTCAACGGCAGCTGATTGCAGCTCAGCGGCGGAAAGTGGAAAGGGTTTTGGGGAAGTATCATGAAGGACCATGAACCAAAAACGGTAAGAGTAGAGTCACAGCTTGTGAACATTACACGTCAGCAGGTACGTGGATTCTGCGTCCAGAATCCATATCAGTGACTCAAAACAGCCTCTTCGTTGGACTGCCACTGTTAAGAGTCAGGCAGTCCCCCTGCATTCAAAACTCTTAGTTACAGAGGTTGACACACACACACACACAGAGAACACACACACACACACACATGGTCGTCTTTGATAGATCTGAGTGTGTCAGTGTGCCACTGGAGGTGCCGAGACATGCCGAGACAAAAGGAATGGATTGACAGGCACTTTGACAGGCTTGACAGGTCTCAACAAATGTGAATCATAGGCAATGGATTGAGGCTTTTGTCTTCGACTCAAGTGAATTCCATCTGCCAGTAACAAGTACCAGTGAAACGCACCAGGGGCAAAACCATGGGGGAAGCAGCCTCAACATGAGCTCCTTATCGGACTCTACAGAGCGGTGTGGTGCTTCCCTGTCATTTATGAAGGACTGGACACAACATGCCATACTGGTTTCAGAATCACATGCAGTATCTTCTGAACCTCTGTTCTTCACTGCCCCATCCAAGCAAAGCAATTCAGCAAACCAATTCAGCACCATCAAGCATCAGCATGTCTATATATGCGAGGAGTGGAGTGGACGCATGGTTCCTTGGCTGAGCTTGGCGAAGCTTCCTCATGCCAAACAAATTGACCAGAATCCGCTGTCATGCCTGTCCAAACAAATTTCATGCTAAGAGGCTAAGAGTCTAAGAGTTTAACCTTTAGGGGTTCAGTAGATTTTAGATGATTTTAGTAGTAAATCGCTTATGAACAGAAGGGACTAAGGGTCTAAGAATATACCAAAGGGAGGTATAGCGGTGAAACCTTTACAACTCATGAACCAAGGACCAACGTGGGCCAACTGTGCAAGACTTCAAGTCACCCGCTTACAGCCGCTGAAGGCATGTGTCGTATGACCCGCATCAAAGCATGTTGTG